ATCTGTTACCAGAAACTGAAGTTTAATTTGATTTGCCTTCAGAATCAGACCCAAAGGTGTGTCAAACAGAACATGTTATTTACACAGGTATTTAAACTCAGAAGATACAAATGATTTCAGGGATGTACACTTCCACTCTCCCAACACCTGGGGCTAGTAGATTGTGTGTTGGGCCTAGTGAAAACTTTCAATATTTTCTATGAAAATAAAGGTCACTCTAGCAGAACTTCAAAATCAACTTGGCGGTGGGCTGGTATTCTAAAACTGGAACTGTACACCATGATTTAGTTTATTTGTTTACGGTGAAAGGAAAGGACAACTTTCACTTAGTTTACCAGACTGTAAAACATGTACATTGGAATCTGGTGAAGAGACCAACCCTATACTAGTAAACAGTCTTCTGTGGACTGTAAACACCATTACAGACTCCACTCTCTCACCCAACCATTACAGACTCCACTCTCTCACCCAACCATTATAGACTCCAAACTCTCACCCAACCATTACAGACTCCCCTCTCTCACCCAACCATTACAGACTCCCCTCTCTCACCCAACCATTACAAACTACACTCTCTCACCCAACCATTACAGATTCCACTCTCTCACCCAACCATTACAGCCTCCTCTCTCTCACCCAACCATTATAGACTCCAAACTCTCACCCAACCATTACAGACTCCCCTCTCTCACCCAACCATAATAGACTCCCCTCTCTCACCCAACCATAATAGACTCCCCTCTCTCACCCAACCATTACAGATTCCACTCTCTCACCCAACCATTACAGTCTCCACTCTCTTACTAAAACATTACAGACTCCACTCTCTCACCCAACCATAATAGACTCCAATCTCTCACCCAACCTTTACAGACTCCACTCTCTCACCCAACCATTATAGACTCCAATCTCTCCCCCAACCATTACAGCCTCCACCCTCTCACCCAACCATTACAGACTCCCCTCTCTCACCCAACCATTATAGACTCCAATCTCTCCCCCAACCATTACAGCCTCCACCCTCTCACCCAACCATTACAGACTCCCCTCTCTCACCCAACCATTACAGACTCTACTCTCTCACCCAACCATTATAGACTCCAATCTCTCCCCCAACCATTACAGCCTCCACCCTCTCACCCAACCATTACAGACTCCAATCTCTCACCCAACCATTACAGACTCTACTCTCTCACCCAACCATTATAGACTCCAATCTCTCCCCCAACCATTACAGCCTCCACCCTCTCACCCAACCATTACAGACTCCCCTCTCTCACCCAACCATAATAGACTCCAATCTCTCACCCAACCTTTACAGACTCCACTCTCTCACCCAACCTTTACAAACTCCACTCTCTCACCCAACCATTACAGACTCCACTCTCTCACTAAACCATTACAGACTCCAATCTCTCACCCACACAATGCTGTTTACTGTTTATACGACTACAATGTACATGTAGACACCATCTCTGTTCAGAGACCACTTTTGAATTTACATGGGTGGTCTCATAGCACAGATTTGACCCATCTTTTTAAGATTTAAATTAGTAAAATATTGCTGCTATATAAAGTTCCAGGAATAAGTGCATTAAACACACGAAAAAAAAAAATTGAGAAGAATATTTTAGCCTGCTTCTTTTACAGTTTGTGAAATTTAGTCAGAATTTCTTTTTTTTTAAAATGATGAAAATTCGTTGAAAAAAGCAGAAATGCATGAAATTATGTATTAAAGCAGATATAGGTCCAATCTCTTTACATGTTTATATTATATACTTGGTAGTTTAGTAACAAGGGTCAATGGAATGCAAAGAACAAGTAGTTTTGACTGTGTGTTTGGTGATGTAGTGCTAGTTTTCCACCTGATTTCCTCTGTACAGGGCGGTACTGGTGTAGTACAGGGGGAAACACATGCTGAGCTAACAGCAGATAGATAGAACTGGGGCTTGATTGACTGAGCAGAATCTTCATCATCCCAATCCATCAGTCTTCAAAGGCTGGGTCTCAGCACCTGACCTGGCAGAGATAAGTGTGACCCCTGTGTGTCTAGGTAAATACTCCCTGGTTACTCTATACTAACAACTTATACTATATTTGATCTAATAAGCACCCATATCCTTTTTCTGGTCCAGGCATCCCATCCCTTCACTATGATTAATGGATTTGTTTGGAAAAAAAGTATCTCTCATGGCTATTTTTAAGAGTTTTGGAAAATTCTTTTGTGATTCTAATGATTCCATGTTGCTTAGCTTTCAGGCTGATTGTTGGGTTAAATACGGTACTGATATTAGTTTAACCCTTGGTAACCTAACTGTATAAACAAAAAGAGTAGTTTTACAGACTAAAGGGGCTGAGTTAACCTGTCTGTAACCCAAACTGTGTATATAAGTATATGATAAAGGTTTGTCAAGAAACATCCAATTTAGGGTTATAAAAATAATGTTCAAAACATTTACGCAGGACAAGAAGGCATTCATTCAAATTTACCTTACTTATCTATAAATGAGCACAACAATTCTACCCCAGGGCAATTATGTGAAGTTTGAGCGATTGACCAAGCCTGAAATTCATATGAGTTGCCCCAATTCAGGAAGTTGCTTAATTTTTCTGCCCCTGCCTGAAAAAGTAAATTATTTCTGTCAGTCACACATAACTAAGACTGTCACATATGATGTAGTGTATATATAAGGTTCTATAAACTGACAACACTCACTATTTCTATTTTTCTGACTTTCAGCATATTTTTCTGACTTTCTGTATTTTTTGTTTGTGGATTTGATAGAATTGCTCACATCTAAAACAATAATCGGTTGTATTTCCATGTCAGCTAGTTTAAATTTTACTGTTAGGGGTCCAATGTGTTGATGCTGGATGATGACTGTCGTGGGTTTGATAAGCTCTGGACTTTCTCAATGGTAGCTAAATGGGTAAACACGGAGAACTTACTACTGATAACACAGTACACATGTTATCATGTACTACACACGGATTCTGCTACTACACACAGGGATTCCTGTTACTACCACCAGACCAGCTATCTTGTGATACATAAAAATACCTCTATTAACTGGCAGCTGTCGATCTACTCAAATGTCCCTCACCTATCACATAGACCCCAGACTCAATAAAAAGGCAAGGTGATGATGGTATCCCATTCAGACGGGATAGTATATATCTACCTTCTTTTTACAAGGGAAGGGGGACAATATTGCAGCATTTTCATCCATGAATTGATGGCTTATTCAGGTTTTCAGTCCTTATAGCACCTTATAAGGTTGGAGCTACACTGGGGAATTGGCACTGAGACAAGAATACCGCAAGAGATATCCCAACCAGTCACATAATACTGACTCGCTTGTCTCAAAAACACAACACAACAATGAAATCTTTTTTCTTCACATAATCTAGGATTAACAATTTTTAACAGTTTCTGTCTAAGCTGCCCCCTCAATACAGCGTAGCCTGCTGATCTAGATAAAATTTAGATAAAATAGTTGGTTTGTACAGAGTTCTTGATGTCAGTCTGCTTACTATGTCTCTCCTTCAAATGAAGGCAGACATATTGTATTAGTACTGGTCCTTCTTGTTCTTCTGGTTCTTCTTCTGGTTCTTCTGGTTCTTCTAATCGTAACTTGTCCGGGCCATAACTTTTAAACCGTTAAAGATATATTGATGAACTTTAGGTATGCATGCATCACACACAGAAGGTGTGCAGTACACTGGAATTAGGTCACTGTGACCTTTACCTCAAGGTCAAATAAGTGCAACATTTTCGGTAATTTCTTGTCCCGCCCCTAAATTTTAAACCGTCGACGTTATCTTGATCAAACTTTAAGTGTACCTGCATCACCCACAGAAGGTGTGCAGTGCACTGGAATTAGGTCTCGTACCCCACTATATGCAGAGTTATGGCCCTTTGTTTATTTTTAATAACATAGTTTGTCCATAGCATAATTTCCATGTTATTTCACCTACCTTGACCAAACTGACCATACTTATGTATCTTGGGATGGCGAAATCTCTCGCACTGAAATCAGATTTTGTGCCCCACTATATACAGAGTTATGGCCCTTTGTTTATTTTTAATACCGAAGTTTGTCCATGTCATAACTTCTTAACCGTTATAGATATCTTATTCAAACTTGAAGTATACCTGCATCATCCACAGAAGGTGTGCAGTGCACTGGAATTAGGTCTCGTGCCCCACCCATATACAGAGTTATTGCCCTTGGTTTATTTTTAATACCAAAGTTTGTCCACGGTATAACTTCCATGTTATTTCACCTACGTTGACCAAACTTGCTATATATGTATCTTGGGTAGTAAGAGTGTTGCATTCTTAACTCAGGTTTCGTATCCCACTATATAAAGAGATATGGCCCTTACTTAATTTTTTATACCAAAGTTTGTCTATTGGCTAATAAGGGGAGACAAAACAAGTTTCTCGTTAAACACATCGTCATTGTCAGAACCAGAGTCTTTGGTGAGTGTAGACAAAAATCTGGATTGGACGAGTCAGCCTTAGACACTGTGTATATAAACAATACAGAATTCTGTGTATGATGGGGAGCTAGTACCCTGGGCTGGAGGGAATGTTTGAGTGTTGTGATTGAGACTTTCGGCCAGACAGCTGGACAGCCTCACCTCATTATCAGTGTATCTGAGTAGCAGACTGATGATATGGTCAGTTCCTTTTATACAAAGTCTCACAAGCATCACTATAGGCTGGCATAGATTTCTGTTACTGGTCTATAGGGAAACTAATGACATCTATCTGAATACAACAAATATATCTGGATGTAATAAAATAAAATAATATATGCAGAACAAAAAAAATTTGGATTTGAAAAGAAACTATTAAAGGAAAAATATGCGGTAGATTAAGATGACAATGTTAGGTGTGGATCAGCTGATGTGTGAAGTGGCTACAGCTCATCATTTGTACAGGGAGCTTATCTGATTTTGGCTCCCTATTATTTATTTCTTCACATTCTCTCCATTCTTCCCCTTCCATACACTTTCCTTCTTCTTTACTCTTTCCTTCTTTGTTTTTCTCCATGCCCATTCCCCTCTATACATCTTCTGTTTTCTTCCCCTGTAGTATCCTTTTCCTTTCTCTCACTTTTCCCTCCACTTCACTCCTATGCTATTCCTCACTCATTTCTTTCCCTGACCACTGCTGTCTGTCTCCTCCCCTACCCACACACTAACCCTCTTACACCCTGTCTCCTCCCCTACCCACCCACTAACCCTCTTACACCCTGTCTCCTCCCCTTCCCACACACTAACCCTCTTACACCCTGTCTCCTCCCCTACCCATACACTAACCCTCTTACATTCTGTCTCCTCCCCTACCCACACACTCTCCCTCTTACCCCCTGTCTCCTCCCCTACCCATACACTACCCCTCTTACACCCTGTCTCTTCCCCTACCCATACACTAACCTCTTACATTCTGTCTCCTCCCCTACCCACACACTAACCCTCTTACATTCTGTCTCTTCCCCTACCCATACACTAACCCTCTTACACCCCGTCTCCTCCCCTACCCACACACTAACCCTCTCACACCCTGTCTCCTCCCCTACCCACACACTATCCCTCTGACTCCCTGTCTCCTCCCCTACCCACACACTAACCCTCTTACATTCTGTCTCCTCCCCTTACACTTTCCTTCTTCTTTACTCTTTCCTTCTTTGTTTTTCTCCATGCCCATTCCCCTCTATACATCTTCTGTTTTCTTCCCCTGTAGTATCCTTTTCCTTTCTCTCACTTTTCCCTCCACTTCACTCCTATGCTATGCCTCACTCATTTCTTTCCCTGACCACTGCTGTCTGTCTCCGCCCCTACCCACACACTAACCCTCTTACACCCTGTCCCTTCCCCTACCCACACACTAACCCTCTTACACCCTGTCTCCCCCCCTACCCACACACTAACTGCTGTCTGTCTCCTCCCCTACCCACACACTAACCCTCTTACATTCTGCCTCTTCCCCTACCCATACACTAACCCTCTTACACCCCGTCTCCTCCCCTACCCACACACTAACCCTCTTACCCCCTGTCTCCTCCCCTACCCATACACTAACCCTCTTACATTCTGTCTCCTCCCCTACCCACACACTCTCCCTCTTACCCCCTGTCTCCTCCCCTACCCATACACTAACCCTCTTACACCCCGTCTCCTCCCCTACCCACACACTAACCCTCTTACATTCTGCCTCTTCCCCTACCCATACACTAACCCTCTTACACCCCGTCTCCTCCCCTACCCACACACTAACCCTCTTACATTCTGTCTCTTCCCCTACCCATACACTAACCCTGTTACACCCTGTCTCCTCCCCTACCCACACACTAACCCTCTTACGCCCTGTCTCCTCCCCTACCCACACACTAACCCTCCGACACCCTGTCTCCTCCCCTACCCACACACTATCCCTCTGACACCCTGTCTCCTCCCCTCCCCACACACTAACCCGCTGGCACCCTGTCTCCTCCCCTACCCACACACTAACCCTCTTACCCCCTGTCTCCTCCCCTACCCATACACTACCCCTCTTACACCCTGTCTCTTCCCCTACCCATACACTAACCCTTTTACATTCTGTCTCCTCCCCTACCCACACACTCTCCCTCTTACCCCCTGTCTCCTCCCCTACCCACACAATAACCCTCTTACACCCTGTCTCCCCCCCCCTTCCCCCACAATAACCCTCTTACACCCTGTCTCCCCCCCCCTTCCCACACAATAACCCTCTTACACCCTGTCTCCCCCACCCCTACCCACACACTTACCCGCTTACACCCTGTCTCCTCCCCTACCCACACAATAACCCTCTTACACCCTGTCTCCCCCCCCCTTCCCCCACAATAACCCTCTTACACCCTGTCTCCCCCCCCCTTCCCCCACAATAACCCTCTTACACCCTGTCTCCCCCACCCCTACCCACACACTTACCCTCTTACACCCTGTCTCCTCCCCTACCCACACAATAACCCTCTTACACCCTGTCTCCCCCCCCCTTCCCACACAATAACCCTCTTACACCCTGTCTCCCCCCCCACACACACACTAACCATCTTACACCCTGTCTCCTCTCCTACCCACACACTAACCCTCTTACACCCTGTCTCCCCCCCCCCCTACCCACACAATAACCCTCTTACCCCCTGTCTCCCCCCCTACCCACACACTCACCCTCTTACACCCTGTCTCCCCCCCCACCCACACCCCCACCCTCCTACACCCCCTCTCCCCCCCCCCCCCCCCCCCCCCCCTTCCCACACACTAGCCCTATCAAACCCTGTCTCCTCCCCTACCCACACACTCACCCTCTTACACCCTGTCTCCTCTCCTACCCACACACTTACCCTCTTACACCCTATCTTTCCCCCCCCCTACCCACACAATAACCCTCTTACACTCTTGTCTCTCTCCCATCCTCAACACTTTCTTTGTTACTTACTCTGTCCCACTTTAAGCCACTTCCCATCATTTCCACTCCAGAACACTCCTACCTCTGTTAGACTATTACCCTACTTTGTTCTCAACAAGACTTCACAACACCAGGAGTGTAACCATCACAAGTAAACAATTTAACACCCAGAACAAATGTCAAAATATCTAAATTGAAAATTTTATTTCTGCCTCCAAGGGTTGTTGAGGATATGTTTTGAGATACAGGGGTGAAAACAGGCTGGAATGTTGATAAGTGTCTTGGTATTTTGCCATGTTATTGCTGATAATATATGTAAAGCAACATTCCTCGCAGTGGCTACTTACTATACGATGACAATGAAGTTAAAGTGTCTGTAGTTTACAATGTATGGACAGTCTAACATAAACAGTGATGTGGTAATGCCTAGACTGCCCCCTGTCTCTAGAATGTTATATAGATATTAAATCATCTAGAATATCTTTTTACTCTAATAAATTTGATCACTTGGATGTCTGATTCTAAAGTTCTAAACTAGGGGAAGATAAGCTAGTAGTAAAATGCAGTTGAGAAATTCTTCATAAAAACTTAGGGGCTGATAGCCAGTCTAGGTAAAGCCCTGCACTTGTTCATCTCTAACTATTGAAGTGTTGAAAAGATTTTGACAAAACTCTTCATTTGGGTCAAAATTACAGTATGACTGAGATGTGTATGCAGAAAATGATTTATGGTGACTTACAGGAACAATGGTCCTTTGTAGAAATAGTTTTGTTGTTTGCTCAGATCCTTACAGAATCTTTTTGCTGGGAATGAGAAGGAAAGAGGTAGATAAATAAAAAATTCTCAGTTTATATCCATCAGGATTGAAAGCTGTTATTCTTGTTGTCTCTGTATGTTGATGCTGAGGTACATTCCCTTCCTGGCCTTGCTGTCTCTATATATTGATGCTGAGGTACAGTCCCTTCCTGGCATTGCTGTCTCTGTATATTGATGCTGAGGTGCATTCCTTTTCTGGCCTTGCTGTCTCTGTATACTGATGCTGAGGTACATTCCCTTCCTGGCCTTGCTGTGTCTGTATATTGATGCTGAGGTATATTCCCTCCCTGGCCTTGTTGTCTCTGTATATTGATGCTGAGGTACATTCCCTTCCTGGCCTTGCTGTGTCTGTATATTGATGCTGAGGTATATTCCGTCCCTGGCCTTGTTGTCTCTGTATATTGATGCTGAGGTACATCCCCTTCCTGGCCTTGCTGTGTCTGTATATTGATGCGGAGGTACATTCTCTTCCTGGTCTTGCTGTCTCTGTATATTGATGCTGAGGTACATTCTCTTCCTGGCCTTGCTGTCTCTGTATATTGATGCTCAGGTACATTCCATTCCCGGCCTTGCTGTCTCTGTATTTTGATGCTGAGGTACGTCCCCTTCCTGGTCTTGCTGTCTCTGTATATTGATGCTGAGGTACAGTCCCTTCCTGGCATTGCTGTCTCTGTATATTGATGCTGAGGTACATCCCCTTCCTGGCCTTGCTGTCTCTGTATATTGATGCTTAGGTACGTCCCCTTCCTGGCCTTGCTGTCTCTGTATATTGATCCTGAGGTACGTCCCCTTCCTGGCATTGCTGTCTCTGTATATTGATGCTGAGGTACATCCCCTTCCTGGCCTTGCTGTCTCTATATATTGATGCTGAGGTACATCCCCTTCCTGGCCTAGCTGTCTCTGTATATTGATGCTGAAGTACATTCCCTTCCTGCCCTTGCTGTCTCTGTATTTTGATGCTGAGGTACATCCCCTTCGTGGCCTGGCTGTCTCTGTATATTGATGCTGAGGTACATTCCATTCCTGGCCTTGCTGTCTCTGTATTTTGATGCTGAGGTAAATCCCCTTCCTGGCCTTGCTGTCTCAGTATATTGATGCTGAGGTACATTCCCTTCCTGGCCTTGCTGTGTCTGTATATTGATGCTGAGGTACATTCTCTTCCTGGCCTTGCTGTCTCTGTATATTGATGCTGAGGTATATTCCCTCCCTGGCCTTGTTGTCTCTGTATATTGATGCTGAGGTACATCCCCTTCCTGGCCTAGCTGTCTCTGTATATTGATGCTGAAGTACATTCCCTTCCTGCCCTTGCTGTCTCTGTATTTTGATGCTGAGGTACATCCCCTTCCTGGCCTAGCTGTCTCTGTATATTGATGCTGAAGTACATTCCCTTCCTGGCCTTGCTGTCTCTGTATATTGATGTTGAGGTACATTCCCTTCCTGGCCTTGCTGTCTCTGTATATTGATGCTTAGGTACGTCCCCTTCCTGGCCTTGCTGTCTCTGTATATTGATGTTGAGGTACATTCCCTTCCTGGCCTTGCTGTCTCTATATATTGATGCTGAGGTACAGTCCCTTCCTGGCCTTGCTGTCTCTGTATATTGATGTTGAGGTACATTCCCTTCCTGGCCTTGCTGTCTCTATATATTGATGCTGAGGTACATTCCCTTCCTGGCCTTGCTGTCTCTATATTTTGATGCTGAGGTACATCCCCTTCCTGGCCTAGCTGTCTCTGTATATTGATGCTGAAGTACATTCCCTTCCTGGCCTTGCTGTCTCTGTATTTTGATGCTGAGGTACGTCCCCTTCCTGGTCTTGCTGTCTCTGTATATTGATGCTGAAGTACATTCCCTTCCTGGCCTTGCTGTCTCTATATTTTGATGCTGAGGTACATCCCCTTCCTGGCCTTGCTGTCTCTATATATTGATGCTGAGGTACATTCCCTTCCTGGCCTGTATTACCATTTCTGGAACATTGTCTATAATATGTATGTATAACTTTGGTATTTGTTTTTAAAATCGTTTACATTGCCTTTTTTTCACAGTAGAGATTGAAAACATAAGAATTTGTTTTGTTGGCCTAACCTATCCTCTGTTTATGTTGGTAGGGATAAACATGCGAGGGTAACTCATCATGTATGACAGATTTGGGAACTTTGGGCCTGATGTTTACAACCTACTTATCTGATTGAAATGATTCATCTGGTATATTTTCAAAATATTGAAATGTAGAATGAAACTTCTTTAGAGAAATTAATTTTCAAAAATGTGTTTTTGTGTTAATGAGTTATTTAATTGAAAACATTTGTGAAAAGTTAACAGAAATTCTGGACTAATTGACTTCATTTAGAACTGGACATTGAGAAAATGTGTTGTTTTTATCAGTTTGATGAAGAAAAAAATATACAATACATGTATCATGGATTCTACACATGTTGAATGATGATACTGGAAACACTTTGTTTGGACTTACTGCCTGCAGTAAAAAATGCCAGACAAAGTTTGTTTTTCATCATTCAAACTTTAAAATGAGATATCTAATAGGTGTACATGTATTACTAGGTAACCTGGGTTACTGTGACCTCACCACTGGTCCTGATGCTGCAGGGATGTGGTTTGACCCCCAAGGCTTAATGACCTCTCAGTGATAAAAGGCCCTAGTTGTGGTGCCAGGGAGGATTGTTTTAAGATAACAACTTGATGGTGTCATATCAAATTTTAGTCATGAAGTAAAATATTATAGACTCCTGGTAAAACAGTAGTTGTGTGAACGTTCTTGGATGGAGACTGGCTTGTTGGTATCTGGGAATCTGTCTGGAGCGCTGAAGTACTTGAGAGATTGTCTGAAAGGTTGTTTACTAACAGAGAGATCATCAAGATGATTGATCAGCCAGGTAATCATTGTTTAGCTGTATAAGTGTGTCATTTCAGTAGATGTAAGGGGAAGCATATTGTATTATTTCATTGTTAATAACATCTTGGCACTTCTAAACATCAAAAACGATCAAAAACAAAGTTCAATAGTTCTTGAAATCATTCAAAAAGTTTCTCATTTTTGTCAAGTCTTGTATTGTTCCAACATTGGAAAAATTTGCTTCATAGTGTCTGGATCCAAAGAAAGGAGGGGTTTGGGGTTCAAAATGTGGCTAGGTTTGGGGGATAGGGGAATGTTGCAAATGAAAAAAAAAGGTGCAAAAACTTATTTTTTAAGGAAATTGACACACTTTGAGTGTATTCCTGAAGCAATACAAATTCAGTACTACAGCTGGATCACCACTGCTTTTGTAACATGTTTCCTGTTTCCTATTACAAAGCTTCTGCCTACAGAGAGGTAGATAGCATGAATACAAAGCTTCTGCCTACAGAGAGGTAGATAGCATGAATACAAAGCTTCTGCCTACAGAGAGGTAGATAGCATGAATACAAAGCTACTGCCTACAGAGAGGTTGATAGCGTGGATACATATACCTATGGTTAAGTCTGTGATCACTTAACTCTGACATAGATATTGCATGTAAATTAATCTTGTTCATTAAATACAAAAGCTTCAGAGGCTGACAGATACTAGAGTCGTTAGTTGATGCCACATTAAAAATACTCATTTGTAAGTTGAAATTGGCCGTTCTCCAGGTGGATACACTAACGCTAGTAGCTGGAAGATGGATTACTTGAGCTCGTTTCTATCTGACTTGTGAGGAAACCTGAAGATATTAGGCATTGTTGTAGAACATCTCTCCTAATCGGTATTTTTATGTATTTAATTGAAAGCACCTGTGTATTGATCGGGGAGTAAAAGATATAAACTTGTTTTTCCCATCCAGCTTCGGCTGCTGCTGCTCACGAGTCCAGGAGTTCAAACACTTATCAGCTTAATGGCTGAAGTTTCATGCAAATTTTTCCTTTTACATTTTGAAAATAATTGAAGTTTGACACTTGAAATTATGTAATCAGATTTTAAGTTGATCATCAGCAGAACATATGAAGATACATTTGAAAAAGAAATCCTTTTTGTATTTTGCGTAAATAACTTGTTGAAGCTAATCCAGCTTTTAACAAACCAGGCAGAGTGATCTGTTACCTACAACTTAGGCCATTACGCTCACATCGCTGATTCCGTATTTACCAAATTGTCTGTAAATAGATTTCCCAGATTTCACTGCCGGCCAACGTTAGCCTGATAAAAACGTTAGGCTGTTATGTAACGGGGTGTTGAATGTGTTTGGGATTGTGGATGTAGTAATACTGAGGGGTAATTACTTTGTGGGCCTTTCAGGGTTGGTTAGCTTTTACTAATAATTGATATTTGTTACGCCTAATGTCTTCTTTTGAGCTATTCTTTCAGATGAAATTATCAGTTCTTTGAAAATAGGAGTATTTTTTTGGGGCCCAAAAATCGGGATTCTCTCTCCTAAACAGGGAGAGTTGGCAAGTATGCTTTCAAAAAAAATTACTGCATTCTCATTTGTTTAAACTGAAATATTTGGGGATATTTTTTGGGAAGAGTTTTTGACTTTTCCGTTTGGGAACTAAAGATACATTTTGAAAAATTCTTCAAGCTAACAAGAATGTTATATCAAAACTGGAGACTTTGATGTAATTCCTTGTAAAGTGTTATATGTTGTGCTCTGTTAATGGTAACAGACAACACCTCGAGGGCCATCGTATTAGTATCACTGTTAAGAGTTATATGTAGGGTAGCACTCGGGATAAGGCAGAGCGATATCAATAATGTCTAAAGCTATATTCTGTCCTCATTCACTACCGTATTTTGTCTGTAGATAATATCTGAAACGTAAATCTGTCATTGAAATTGAAATAAAAAGGTTTTTACCAGGTATATGTTTTTGAATAATCCAACAACAACAACAACAAAATGATAGGATTCCATTGATGAAAATGGTTGATTGAATCGGTAGTCTAAAAACTCTAAATACTGGCCATTACAACTGTAAAAGATTAAAACTCATCTGTTTTGTTTTAACCATTCTGTCCTTTAACATAGAGGAAATTTAACCAAGGTTTGAGTGCCTGCAAAATAATCGACAATTTTTTACCCTTTGTAAAATCTCAAATGGCTGGGACAAAGTCAATACTGGAAAGATTTGTTTAGAAGAACTAACAGGCAAAAAAAACACCATTCAGTGACCATAAAACCTGATTTTAACTTGAGCAAAACCAAATGTTTCTGTTTCAAGTGTTTAATAAGGACAATATTTTGGATTCATGTGTTTGACGTTCTGGTATTACCTGCTCCAGAACAATTATGTCTGGGGTTCAAGGCCTGGAGAAATAGGGTAAACTTAGCACTGCCCTAATTCCTTTATATGGCTTATACACAGCAAGGACTTTACCATACCAAGCCTGGGCTTATATCATCCTTACATTACAGTACTCTGTAATAGAAACAGCATATGACTTGTGATACATGTTAACACTGGTGATACATGTTAACACTGGTGATTAACTCCCCACCATCTGTTCCTTACTTACAGCTGTAAACACTTCTGCTGCCAAATTGTCAGGAATGTTCTACAAATTATACCACAAACTCATAGCGATCAATGACAAGTTATTTTTGGACGAAAATGTAAAAAGAAGGATTCCCAAACAAATTGATATCAATTATTTACTTGTACTTGATGTTTCAACTTTTCACCTAGGAAACAGTTAATGGTATTTATTGTCATCATCATTCATTTATTCATTACTTACCTTTTTTTTTTACCTATTTCTATTCTGCATTTAGTGGAATGGTAGAACATGTGTACTTTGTTAGTAGGGAATAACATAGATATTCTGGGAGGCACCGCAAGAAAGCAAGAAAGCAACAGATCAAGTTCAGTAGGAATGACATGAGGTTTAGGGAAGGGCAGAAGGAAAGCATTAAATGTGAATCAAGTGTTCCCTGTTACGATGGCAAACCTATATTTGACAAATTGTAAATCAAATATTTTCGAGAGTTCTTATTTCTTCTTTGAGAGTTTTATACTTTTGCTCTTAATTGTCTCTTAACAGATGTGCTCCCTAATTATATCAGAGTATTAATGTATAGTAGACTACTGTGGAGAGGAGAAAATGGTGGCCTCTAAAGTGTCAATAATCCATGCTAGGCGTTTTATGTTGAGCAGGCTCGTCTACAATGTGTCTGATCAAATGCTTGCAACAGTTTTTTAAACCAACAACCCTCCTGCATTGCGAAAGGAGAATTTCGTTAAAAATAAAGGAAATCAAACAAATTTCTTAAGGGAATGAAGAAATAGAAATGTGATAGAACCAATGGCAATGAAGTTTTGGCCCCCTAAACTGGCTATTAACATTCCTGTTTTGCATATCTTTGTCCTAGTGAGATGGAGTAATGATCCTAATTAATTTCAGGACTAATTAGCGGCCACATCTGTTTTAGTTGTGTTTGATGGCACCACTGTGATGTGTCACTATCGGGAGAGGCAACCGACCGGTGAACAAAGCCACGGCGTTACCGTCTTGCTGTTTGAAGATTGATATTATTGTATGGTTTCACCAGCCCTGAGACTAATTACTGATAAATTTGTACTTTTCAAGTCACATTGGATGCTAACAACAATCAGAATCGCAGACAAAGAAGTGACGGCTCATCGCTTCAGTGGCTGTGTTTTTGTCTCCCCCTATATTGTAATTGTGACCAACATGTAATGAGTGATTAGTTTATTGCCAAATACACCGTTTAGACAAGACTAACTACATCGCAAGACTTCAGTTCTGTACATGATTTCGTTCCTGTATTTTTGAAGATCCATACAAGGACCTGTTGTGTTCATTTGTCTGCATTTCTTTACAAAGATTTGTTTTTATGTTCCGAAGCTTTTACTGTGTTCATTGGGTAATCAACTTTGACTATACAAGAAAGTTCGGCAAATGTTTGCAATATCTGTGATAGATTCACTGGATTTGTTTTGACTGACACAGTAATATTGAACTGATTTCCTTCTACCAACAGGTCATACTGGTATTTCTAAGTGTGGCTGACATTCATGGCCTGAGAAAAATGACAATCAGTATTAATTTGTTGCAATTACAGTACAGCAGTATTCTAAACAGAAAACATTCTTTACTAGTAGTAATACATTACATTTCTCTTCTGACTTTTTGGTGGTGCAAGTAATTTTAAATACGATACGATGAGAATCTCTGCCAATCCTGAGACTGAAATTTGACAACATTACTGGTATCTATTTTAGAGAAGTATATTTCAGGAAGAAAAAGGATATAACATTTATGCTTAGCCAATCTGGATGAAATCACAGCATAAAGATTATAAGGTTGTGGTTGTGTTTGACTTGAGAACATTTTTAACCTGTGTTGTTTTCTTGTGTACTTTCAGTTGTGCTTTTCGAAGGGTGACATTGTGACGGTCACCCAGACCATGGAAGGAGGCTGGTGGGAAGGAACACTGAATGGAAAAACAGGGTGGTTCCCTAGCAACTATACCAAGGAGGTCAAAGGAGGTCAGTATCGGACATGTTGGGAGGGTGTGTGCGGTGGGATACAATAAATGTGTCTGTTCATTTTGTTAGAAGGTGTATGTGTGACAGAGTGGAGGGAGGGATCTTACAATGTGATTAAAGTGGTGGATATGGGGATGTGGAGGGGTGGGGTAGGTTGTGATTTGGTTAAGCGGTGGATATGGGGATGTGGAGGGGAGGGGTAGGGTGTGATTTGGTTAAGGGGTGGATATGGGGATGTGGAGGGGAGGGGTAGGTTGTGATTTGGTTAAGCGATGGATATGGGGATGTGAAGGGGAGGGGTAGGTTGTGGTTTGGATAAACGTTGGATATGGGGACCTGGAGGGGTGGGATAGGTTATGATTAGGTAAAGTGGTAGATATGGGGACCTGGAGGGGAGGGATAGGTTGTGATTTGGTTAAGCGGTGGATATGGGGATATGGAGAGGAGGGGTAGGTTGTGCTTTGGTTAAGTGGTGGATATGAGGACGTGGAGGGGAGGGGTAGGTTGTGATTTGGTTAAGCGGTGGATATGGGGACCTGGAGGGGAGGGTAAGGTTGTGATTAGGTAAAGTGGTAGATATGAGGACGTGAAGAGGAGGGTTATGATTTGGGTAAGTGGTTGATACGGGGACCTGGAGGGGAGGGTAAGGTTGTGATTTGGTTAAGTGGTAGATATGGGGACGTGGAGGGGAGGGGTAGGGTGTGATTTGGTTAAGTGGTAGATATGGGGACGTGGAGGGGTGGGTTATGATTTGGGTAAGTGGTTGATATGGGGACGTGGAGGGGTGGGGTAGGTTGTGATCTGGTTAAGTGGTTGATATGGGGACGTGGAGGGGTGGGGTAGGTTGTGATCTGGTTAAGTGGTTGATATGGGGACGTGGAGGGGTGGGGTAGGTTGTGATCTGGTTAAGTGGTTGATATGGGGACGTGGAGGGGTGGGGTAGGTTGTGATGTGGTGATGATAGATCAGGATATAGTCAACGTTTTGTTTCATATTTGGCTTGGAGTGATACATTGTTTGGTTATATAGCAAAGTCGTGATAGTTTTCTTTTACAAGCAATTGTCTTTTTTTACATACAGCAAAATGCCAAAGGTCCCCCTTGTGATTCGTTTTCAACAGGTTGAACCTTACTGGTTTTCTTAATGATCTGCTTGATTTAATATTAATGAGATATTTTGATTTTGTAACTTCCTTTTTGTGTGAATCGATTGAACACTAAAATATGCCTCATGAAATAAACTTATTATCATAACTGTCTCTTGTGAAGTTTCTGGTGTTCCCAGTCATAAGACAGGAATCACCCTCCCTGTAACATACCCACGTCCCAAATGTCTGTGACCTTATCTTCAGTAATCTCTCTTACTTATCTCCGGAACGTTTTATTGTCTGACAAAACAGAAACATGCAACCTCTGATTAACTTAGTCGTCAAATTATAAATAAAAATTGTGGAAAAACAGCTATCTATTGAAAAAGTCTTATGAAATGCTGATACAGGTTGTAAAAAGTGGATGTCCTGGAATCATTGAAGTCTTTGAGTTTAGGTTATAGGAAACAGCCATTTTGTTATCGCTGAAGACTTTGATTTGTAAATATAGGTTGTAAAAAACGGCCATCTTGAATCTGCAGCTTTTACTATGTAATTCTGAAATAGCTTATAATCTAACTGTTGGCACCGGTTGGTTCTAGAATGAAGATTATGTTAATAATCTAGCACGTTTTATCTTCTGAAATCCGACATCTAGGTCAGCCTACCATCCAGGTTAATACAAGTCTACCAGCATGTCTAGTAGGTCTAGTGATCAACATGTCAGCTTAACTACATATTACAGAAAATCAAAATCAAAAATGTTATAATAAATACTGAAATACATAGAAAATATGTTTGCAGAGTTTTGTCACGGAGGATTCCAGCTATAACAGAGATAAAGCAGGAAAGGGGAAAGATTCTATTCTCTTTTAATCTCAATAATGAAGTCCTTTTTGGCAATGCTGGTTATTGTGTTAAGTTATAGAGTTCTTGTTGGTGTATGTGGATCTTGATTTCCGAAATAAAACTGTGAGATTTATCATTTTCCATTCTGGTGAGCAGATTCTTGGGTTAGATAAGTTGGAATATGTTGATAAGTGATGATTATGTATTTATGTCCTGATGTGAAGTTCTAGAGTAAAAGATTGGAGTGACACTCTCAGAGTTTCCAGATATAGTTTGTATGTGAAGACCCCTTTTGCCTGTGTGTATAATGGTGTGATGCTGATTCTGTGTTACAGAACTGATGGGTGTGTTACGACAGTCAGTAACGCCGAAAGGAGCGGCAGAAGTACCGGTGTTTAAACGAGAGAGTATGCCGTACTATCACAACGTTGTAAGTATTTTTGGACATCTCTTCCTTATATATTTTGGAGAAAGCATTTTGAGACACTGATTTTGTGGCATCCCTTCCTTAACCCTTTCACCACTGCAGACCATAATGGACTCATCCAGATCAATGCATGGAAGAGTTTACTAAAGTTACATAGGGGGGAAAGGGTTAAATCACATCATGGCGATAATATTTCTGTTGCATGCATTACCATAGCATTGCCACTACATCCAGTTGGTGTTTATATCATTATTTAATTGAGCTGAAGCCACGTCCTGACTATTAACATTGCCATTGTCATTATTATTATGTATAATAATTCATAACTTTGTTTATCGGTGACCCCTACTGGATGGTGACTGTCCTAACTATTGAAAAACCCTTGATAATATATAGTAGCTCATTACCAGATTATATAGGTAAAACCCCTTAATAATATATAGTAGCTCATTACCAGATTATATTGGTCAAAACCCTTAATAATATTTATTATTTTAATTGATTTTGAGGTGACTCTGATTGGCTGAAACAACATCATGTGACCACCTGTAAAAGTAGTTATAAACCTGAGTGGTTTGCAGGTGTTCAAAAAAGTTGGTAGAAAAAGTGTTATTGACCTGCTATAAATAGATTCTGGAATTTTTGTGAAGTCATTTAGATGCTTGATTAACACCTCATGGGAGACAAACACAGTACTGCTCAAGATTAACACTGAAGTCACTTATTGCAGATATTTAAATGATTATTGCAGATATTTAATTAAAAAATGTTATTTTTCTGATATTTTTGATTAGTTAATTTTAAAATTTGTGACAAAAAAAATGGAAANGGCTGAAACAACATCATGTGACCACCTGTAAAGGTAGTTATAAACCTGAGTGGTTTGCAGGTGTTCAAAAAAGTTGGTAGAACAAGTGTTATTGACCTGCTATAAATAGATTCTGGAACAGGTGTTCAAAAAAGTTGGTAGAAAAAGTGTTATTGACCTGCTATAAATAGATTCTGGAATTTTTGTGAAGTCATTTAGATGCTTGATTAACACCCCATGGGAGACAAACACAGTAATGATCAAGATTAACACTGAAGTCACTTGGATGCTTGATACTGCCTATCAAAGACAAACGCAGTAGTGATCAAGAGTTTAGCAACAACAAAAATGGCAGACGACAGCACTAGATTTGCTCAGCTATCAACAGAGGATGTTGAAAAAATATTGGAAAACCAAATTTGATCAATGATTATTGCAAATATTTAAATGATTATTGCAGATATTTAATTAAAAATGAAAAAAAATTGGAAAACTATATTTTTTTACATTTTTTTCTTCAATTTTGAAAAAATCAATTAAAATAATAAAACTATTATAGCATGGTGATTTCGATTGATACATGGTTTTATCGACCTAGGTAAGCAATATTGACCTCGGACGCATATATAGTAGCTCATTACCAGATTATATAGGTAAAAACCCTTAATAATATATAGTAGCTCATTACCAGATTATATAGGTAAAAACCCTTGATAATATATAGTACGCTCATTACCAGATTATATAGGGAATGGCTGATTTCTGTCTGCAGATTTCTGGACTGTTACAAAAAAATGGAATCCTTACTTTAAGTTTTGATGTATAAGTAACATACATGCCAGATTGTTTCTTACCAATCTCAAACAGATCTTAAACTTTATACTCGAAGATCTGAGGGCAAACTCAATAACAGATCTAGAGTAATTCAAAATGGTAAATCGATCAGATTGGGTGCACTTGCCTTCCTCCCAGACAGCTGGGGTTCAACACCCTGGTCAGACATGACAAGGTATGGTGTCACCTGCCCCACAACAACAGTTTGTTAGTGCAGTTTCCTCCCAGACAGCTGGGGCTCAACACCCTGGTCAGACATGACAAGGTATGGTGTCACCTGCCCCACAACAACAGTTTGTTAGTGCAGTTTCCTCCCACACACACAACACAAGCATGAAACCATCCATGTCATAAAGGAGTGACTGATATAATTTAATAAAACTTTTTTCATTATTGTTTTAAAAAAAATCAAGTTTGATAAAAAATGTCCACTCAATGGTAACCTAGAACAAATCATCCAACCCAAACTTAATGAAGAAATAGCAATGTTACCACAAGGGAGGTCACTCTGACAACCTTGCTATTGTACTACAATTTGTATTGTTTTTATCTACAGGTGCTTCAGAATGTGATAGACACAGAGAAGACCCATGTACAAGAGATGACAATGGTTCTACAGACTTACATACAGCCCATACAGGGCTCTACCATGTACGTATTGAAACACATACAGCCCATACAGGGCTCTACCATGTATGTATTGAAACACGTACAGCCCATACAGGGCTCTACCACGTACGTATTGAAACACATACAGCCCATACAGGGCTCTACCATGTACATATTGAAACACATACAGCCCATACAGGGCTCTACCATGTATGTATTGAAACA